CCTTGCAGTCCAAGTGGACTGAGCACATTAACCAACAACTCCACACCAGGACTCCTGTTACATCTGTAATAAACCACTTAACTGTAGATGTGGTCTATGAGTTCTGTGTGTCCATTGGAACAAATTATCAAATCCAGAAGAGAATTAAGAGAGTACCAGTGAGCAACTTGCTTGTTCTTGTAGTAGTCAGTCGGACTGCCATTATTGTTTTGTATTTTTCCTCTTAGTCTTTCTTCCAAGAAGTATCTTCTGTTCTTCTAGCTGCTCCAGGCTGGTCTGCTTGTCCTTTCAAGTGGAAATTTCCACCTAAGAAGATTTTGGATGGGATTCAGGATTCCACCTATGGTCTTATGTAATGCAGAGGCTCCACAGGAAGCCTCCTTTACTGGGCACATTGTAGCCCCATTTTAGGTATTCCAATCAGTTATAGGCAGAAAATGGACTTACAAACTTTCTATGGTGATATTTCTGGCTATTCCTTTCTCTCCACCTCAAGTGTGTATTTTTATAATGGTATGCAAGGGAAACCAAGATTCAAAAGACAGCCAAGCATCTTAACATTATTTCCCCAGTTTTGCACATTCCAACCATGCCTCAATCCCTGTATTCCAGAGCCCTGTTTTTCCAAGGTTGTGCATACATCATTTACCCCTGTCCCACTTAGCCCATGCAAACCTGCCTAATTGTTCTCCCAGCTGCCTTGTTCTTCCATTCCCCTCTCCCTTCTTGTATATTGCCCCCTCCCCAGCACCCAAACTATCCTATGTCTAATCCCTACCCTGTGATCCACCTTCCCCTCCTTCCCCTCACTCCACCCCCCACATCCCAGGTAACCAGCAAAGAATCCCTGCCCCCTTTAGTATGGGTTCTTTTTCTTGTCTTTTACAATAATGGTCCTATGAAATATTTCTCCTTTTGTGACTGACTAATTTCATTCAACATAATGTCCTCAAGTTTCATCCACGTTATGTGGTAGCTTACAGCTTCTTTGTTGTTTTTAAAGGTGGCATAATATTCCATTGTGTGTATTTGTTTATCCATTCTTCATTGGATGGGCACTTAGGCTGTCTCCATCTTTTTGCTATTGTAAGTAGTGAGTGCTGCTATGAACATTGGTGTGCATATATCTTCTCGTGTTGTGGCTCGTATTTCTTGTGGGTAAATACTAAATAGAGGAATTGCCTGATCATAAGGTATTTCTACTTCCAACCATCTGAGGAAGCACCATATTGCTTTCCAGAAAGGTTGGACCATTTTGCAATCCCACCAGCAATGCAGGAGTGTCCCAGTCTCTCCACATCCCCGCCAGCATTTATTGTCCTCTACTTTTTTGATCTTTGCTGTTATTTGGTATGAGATGATATCTCATTGTTGTTTTGATTTGCATCTCTCTAATGGCTAGTGATCATGAACATTTCTTCATGTTCGTTGGCTGCCTGATCTCCACCTTGGTGAAGTGTCTGTTCATGTCCTGTGCCCATTTTTTAATTGGGTTATTTGTCTTTTTCTTGTAGAGGTGTTGTAGTTTCCTACATATTTTAGAAAGGAGTCCCATGTTTGATGTGTCTTTGCTAAATATTTTTTCCCATTCTGTGGGTTCACTTTTTACTCTTCTGGTGAAGTCTTTTGATGCACATAAGTTTTTAATTTTTAGTATGTCCCAATCATCTATTTTGTCTACTTTTGTTTGTGTGGTTTTCAAAATGTTTGGTAGTCTGTGTATGCCCTGAATGAGAGCCCTCGCATTTGTCCCTATTTTTTCATTGATGGCCTTCATAATTCTGGGATTCACAGTTAGGTCTTTAATCCATGCTGAGTTGGTTTTTCTATAGAATGTGAGGAGAAGGTCTTGTTTCAATCTTTTGCATATCGCTTTCCAGTTCTGCCAGCACCATCCGTTGAAGAGACTATCATCTTCCCATGTGATATATTTAGGCACTGTCGAAAATCAGTTGGCTGTATGTGGATGGGTTAATTTCTGGATTCACAATTCTGTTTCTTTGTACTGGTACCAAGCTGTTTTGACCAGTGTAGCCATGGAATACATTTTGAAGTTGGAGAGTGAGAGGCCTCCAACCTTATTCTTCTTCTTAAGCAGTGCTTTGCTTACCCTGGGTCTCTTTCGTTTCCATATAAAGTCTGTAATTGTTTTTTCCATCTCTTTGAAGAATGTCGCTGGAATTTGGATTGGGATTGCGTTATGTGTGTAAATTGCTTTGGGCAGTATTTTCACAATGTTAAGTCTTCCTATCCAGGAGCATGGTACATTCTTCCATTTTTGTAGGCCTCTTTTGGTTTCTTGTAGTAGTGTTTTGTAGTTTTCTTTGTATAGGTCCTATATCTTACTGGTTACATATATTCCCAGATAATTTCATCCTTTGGGTGGCCACTGTAAATGGTATTGCTTTCCTAATATCCTTTTCAGTGCTGTCATCATTGGTATAGAGGAATCCAACTGATTTTTATATCCTGCCCCTTTGCTGAATCTTCCAATGAGGTCTAGTAGCTTTTATACTGAGTCTATGTATAAGATATATTGTGTGCAAATAGAGAGAGTTTTACTTCCTCTTTGCCAATTTGGATGCTTTTAATATCCCTGTCTTGCCTGCCGTATAACTCTTGCTAAGACTTCCAGCACAGTGTTGAATAGGAGTGCGGACAAAGGGCATCCTTGTCTGGTTCCTGTTCACAGAGGGAAGGCTTTCAGTTTCTCTCCATTGAGAGTAATGTAGGCTGTTGGTTTTGTATATATGCTCTTAATTACGTTGAGGAATTTCCCTTCAATTCCTACTTTGTTGAGTGTTTTTATCAGGAATGGATGTTAGATTTTGTCAAATGCCTTTTCTTCATCAATTGATATGATCAGGCTGTTCTTTTTTCTTATTTATATGGTGGGTTATGTTGATTGTTTTCCTAATGTTGAACTATCCTTGCATCCCAGATCCCTTCCTTTTCTTTTTAACTGCCTTTCCCATCACCCAAGTTAGCTCCTGTCTACACTCTACCCAGTAAATAATTCTCACACTGCTGGTAACCATCATAGAAAGTTTATTATAGAATGAAAACCTTTTCTTGACTTTTAAAGTGGTGGTCTCATACAAAAGCTGTCCCTATGCAGTGGACTAATTTCACTCAGCATAATGTCCTCCAGGGAGTGAGATGGTGCTTTTGGATAAGCAGTGGACTGCAAACCACATGATCTGCAGTTCAAGACCACCCACCACTCCACAACAGAAAGACAAGGCTTTCTGCTCCTGAAAAGATTTACAGCCTTAAAAACCCCATCAGGGTCAGTATGAGTTAGAAGCAACTTAACAACAACAACAACAATGTCCTCCAGGTTTCTCCATGTTTTATGGTGTTTTGCAGATGCATCATTATTTTTCAGTGTTGCATAATATTCCATTGTGTGTGTGCTAAATTTTGTTCAGTCATTCCTCTGTTGACATAGGTTTTCTCCATCTTTTTGCAATTGTGACTAATACTGCAATGAACATGGACATGCATGTATCTATTTGTGTTACAGCTCTTATTTCTTGAGGATATATACCAAGTAGTGAGGTTGCTGGGTTGTATAGCATTTCTATTTCCAGCTTTCTGAGAAAGTGCCATACTGTTTTCCACAGCAGTTGCACCATTTTAAAGTCCCACCAGCAATGTAGGAGGGTCCCATACTACTCTCTACATGCTCTTCAGCATTTGTTGTTTTCTGTTTGTAACTTTGCTATTAATGCTGGGGTAGGATGATATACGTCATTTTGATTTGCATCTCTCTGGTGTGGTGCTGTCAGATAAGTTCTAAATTGCAAAGTTGGTTTGAACCACAGGGTCAGCAGTTCAAACCCACCAACCACTCAGAAACCTTATACAGGGCTGCTATGAGCAGGAACCGACTCCAAGGCACTTAACAACAATGGCTAGTGATCATTAGCATTTCTTCATGTTTGTTGGCCACCTGAACAGACACTGGTGAAGTGTCTGTTCATGTTCTCTGCCTAGTTTTTAATTGGATTATTTGTGCTCTTCTTACTGAAGTATTGAAATGTTCTATGAATTTTTAAAATGTCTTGTCAGATATGTTATTGCTAATTTTTTTTTCTCAGTCTGTGGGTTCTTTAATTACTCATTTGTTAAAATCTTATGATGCACATAAGTGACTAATTTTTGGACTTTCCAGTCATCTGTTTTGTCTTCTGCTGTTTGTGTGTCTTCAATTATGTTTGATAGTTTATTTAGGGCCATGATATCTTTGCTCTTGAACATTTTAAAGAGGTCTTGTGCAGCGAAGTTACCTAATGCATTATGTCATTTGATTTCTTGACTGCTGCTTCCAAGAGTGCTGATTGTGGATTTCAGCAAAATGGCCACCACAATACCACGTATCATTTAAATCCCCATGAGATAACGCTGTATGTTAGAAACTTGATTACATTGTAAACTCTTTGCTACGTATTTCGATTGCTGAAATTCGAATTCCTCCGTCAACCTAACTTTTTTAGTCCACTATGTATAAAATCTTTTAGTGTTCCCAATAGCCTGCCATTTAATAGTCATCAAATTCAGTCTTCTACTGGCCTGAAGAGTCCCTTGAGGTTTAAAGGTTAGCTATCCGATATGGCAGTTCAAGCTCACCAGCCACTTCTCGGAAACCCTATAAAGGGTCGCTATGGGTCGGAACCGATTCAATAGCACTTCACAACAACAACAACTTCGGGTATGGCGCTGGAGATAAAGCAGTGGACTGCAAGGTCGGTCTGAACCACTACGCTACCAGAGCTCCTTCGAAATGCTATACGAGGTCCCTATGATTCAGAACCGACTCTAGGGCACGTAACAACAAATCTCCAAAGACCAGAAAATGACACCACAACTGAGCTCCTCCAGTGCCACGCCTCTCCCTGTGCCCGCCCTTCCCTACGTCCCGCCTCCGTGCTCTAGCGCGCCTATCCCGCCCCCTCCTCTAAGCCAATGATCGGGGACGTCCGTGGGGGTGTGACTTCCCTCTCCGCCAATGGCGGGAGTCTTTGTTGTTCCGGCTCCGCCCAGGCCAGGAGCTCACGCCGGAAGATGGCGGCAGCAGCTGAGTTGACGCTGCTTGAGAAATCCCTGGGACTGAGTAAAGGGAATAAATACAGTGCCCATGGCGAGCGCCAGGTGAGAGATTGGGTTAGCACAGAAGGTAAACGGGCTCCCTGAGCCTGGGCGGGTCTTGGAGAGGCGCGATGAGGACAAGGCTTCCGTGCTGCGCCTGCGGCTCTCCACGTGTCTGTGCCGGACCGCCTGCTCCTTCTCTGCAGGTGCTCTGGGCCTCTCCTGCTGTCGTAGCCCCTGGAGGAATGATGCAGGGGGACTACGGCGGTCGAGACTGGGTTTGAAGTTTTCCTTCCATAAAGTGGGCATAAAGTGAAACCAGTTGTGGGAGGACCTCCCCCCCCCCCCCCCCCCCCCCCCAAAGAGCCCTTTAGCTATTCCCACTTGGTGGCTCCGTTTCTGGCCAGTGGCAGCACTTATACACTCCTTGGTGCGGACGCAGCTGCCGTGTGAGCGCCCACCTGACCTCGGGGAATACGGTCCGTTCCTCGGGGCAGACACTTCTCGGGACCCTCAAGGAGCTTGTTTTTAAGTAACCTTCCAATTACTTCAATTAACCTGGCGAAAAGCGCTCCACTGAAGGGTAGATTCTTGGGAGAACATTTAAGGAGTCGCGGCCCAGTCGTGAAGATTCAGGAAGACTTGAAGTTTCTGATGCTAAGTTCTTGCCTGCACAGTTTTCATCCGTCGGAGCTCCGAAGTACATCGGCGTTTTATAACTTCACTGTTTGCGGTGGAGAGAATGAGTGTAGGGAACAGTTTTTTTAGATATACATGCTTATGCGCTTTTGAAATGGATTGTTTACTAAAGGACGTTTATTTTGTTCTGTATACTTTCACTGCGTTTTCATTTGGTCCGGGTTAAAATCTTTTTCTCAAAAGTAGAAGTATTGTCGTCTTTACAGATTAAGTAAACTGAAGCTGAGAAGGATTAATCAACGTACCTCAGTTCAGGTGGCAGAGTGGCCTGCTGTTTACTATTTTCCTGTGTCCCTTTCGTCCCCTATTCAGTCCGTAGTTGAACTGGTGTTTTTTAGGGAACTTAACCAGGACGTGAGACGCAGTCATATGGGCACATATAAAGCTGGCCAAAATATACACTGTAATTGAGGAAAACATTCTCGAGTATGGAAGAGAAAGTTGATTCTAAGAAGGCGTTATAAACTTCCTAGGAAAGTCATCAGTCTTTGAAAGTTGTGTAAAACCCATGATGAAAGATTGGGAAGTTTGGGGCAACAAGTAAGTAGAGAGTGCCAGGTGAACCCAAAACTCACTTGTGCTGGACCTTAGAGTTCAGAATGTGTTTTTATTTTGATTAAAGCATATTTTGAAATTTTCTGTTTGGGGAAAAGGTTGAGGGATATGTGAAAAGATTCAGCCATTTTCTAGAAAACATCTAACAGTAAGTAATAAACCAGCAGTGGGTTGCTCTTTGCAGCATAATTAGTAATACTGTAATTTAAAAATGACCAGTCTAGAATCTTTAGAATTATCTTTTCTATCCATACTCAGCTGTTGTGAAATTCTTTTAATATATTTCTTAAAGGAATTTTTTGTGATCATAGAAGAAGTGGTTTTATTTGAGTGTGAAGGCAAAAGTGAGAATTTTTTTTAAAAAAGCAAAAAAACAGTTGTCATCAAGTCAGTTCTGATTCATGGTAACTTACCCCATGTGTTTCAGAATTGAACTGTGCTTTATAGGGTTTTAAGGGCTATAACCTTTGGCTGTAGATCATCAGGGCTTTTGAGTCACCTCTGGGTGAATTCGAGCTGCCATCTTTTAGGTTGGTAGCCATGCTTTTAACTATCCACGCCACTCAAGACCTTCTAAAACGATACTGCTATTGTTAGTTGCCATTGTGTTTAGCTCTGACACTTGGTATTACTGCCAACCATGAATGGGAAGTTTGTGAGGAAGTGTAAAGTGGAGAGGGTTCTTCCCTTACCTCCTTTACCTTTTATGAGGTAACTTCTGAATCTGTCTTCCTGTGTACTTCACAGGGTCTGTTGAAGTAGAAATGAATATGAACCTGCTCAGCAAAGTGTAAGTCACTGTTGTTTTTGTTGAGTGCTGTCGAGTCAGCTCTATTCATAGCGATCCTGTATAGGATTTTCGAGGAGCAGCTGGTGGGCTTGAGCCACCAACCTTGCAATTCGCAGTCCACTGCTTACCAGGACTCACTATGCAAGATACTATTTTGTGGCCTAAAAGAGCAGCAGTTGTCCCAAGCAAATGTTTTTTTTGGTTTGCTCAGCCATTATTAAATGGTAGTCATTTACTTGTTATTGTAATTAGTCTGTCTTTTTCCATTTTTCTCTGAATGTCTTATAATGCTTCACATGGTTTTGCGTAAAGAAGAGTTAAATTATGAACTCATAAGTAAATAAATCGGATCTTTTGCCTTGCTGTTGTACTGGGGAAAGTATAAAAGGCAGAGTTCTTTTTCAGGTGGTTTACCGAAAGCCTGGACTTTACTATCGCTTGCCTAAATTATATTTTGGATTTTATTTTTTATGTGAAGTATTGACTTGCTCTAAAAGCCTCCAAAATTGATGGGTATGCACTTCCTGGCAGCCACGTCGCTATCACAGTGATTAACCTAGTTAGTGAGACACAGCCAGTTACCTTCGGTTGTTGTTGTTGTTGTTGTTAAGTGCCATCGAGTCGGTTCCGACCCATAGCGACCCAGTACAGGGTTTCCGAGGGTGTAATTCGGTTAGATGGCACTAAAGTAGTCGAGGTTTCATTTGGTGGTTCTAACATCAAGAAGTCAAAGTTAATACAATAGTTTATATTTGTTATTGCTGGCATCAGAATTTTAAAAATACGTTTGCTTTGCAAAATTACCGAGAACCAAACCCACTGCCTTCCAGTCGGTTCCAACTCTTAGCAACTCCACACGGGGCTTCTGAGATGAGATTTTTTACGGGAGCAGACAGCCTCCTCTTTCTCCAGAAGAGCTGCAGGTGGGTTTGAATTGCCAACTTTTGGTTAACAGTCCAGTGCTTGCAAAATTAAGGTATGGGTCATCTCAATAGAAGGAGCCCGGGCGGTACAGTCAGTGAGCAGGTGCTGACTGAAAGCTTGGTCGTTTTAACCCATCCAGCAATGCTGTCTAATAAAGGCCTGGTAAACCGCTTCAGCAAGATCGTAGCCAAGAACACCCCATGTTCTATAACACATGGAGTTACCATGACTCAGAACCAACTCTATGGTAACTGGTTTAATCTTGATTTAAATTAATGTATTTGTGTTGTTGTTGTTAAGTGCCTTAGAGTTGGTTTCAACTCACAGTGCCCTTGTATAGAGTTTCCAGTGAGCAGCTGGTGGGTTTTAAACTGCCGACCTGTGGTTCCCAGTCCAGTGCTTACCCACAGTTCCACATTAGGAGCCTGTATTATTATTATTAGGATTTTCATGTATCTACATATATGACAAGGAGCTCTGGTAGCTTAGTGGTTACAAATCGGGCTGTTAACCTCAGGGTCAGCAGTTCGAAACTACCAGCCGCTCCGTGGGAGAAAGATGAGGCATTCTGCTCCCATAAAGATTTATAGCCTCGGAAACCCTGTTCAGGGTCGCTATGAGTCGGAACCAACTCCACGGCACATAACAACAATAGCGTATATGACAGAGCTTCCAAAAGGTTGTGGAAAAGTGGAATTAAAAGACAATAGAATTTTCCACTGAACATTTTGAAGCCCCCTTCTACATTCCTTATGGTACATTATTCATATTGAAATATTTATTGATTTTTGCAGTGTTAGTAGCAGTTCTGTTATCAAGCATCTGTCATCAAATTATGTAACTTACCAGTTTTCTTGACTTGGATTTGTATATAATATTTAGGTACCTTACTGTAAAATCCTTGAGTATTTGAAAAACAGTTGAGAATTTAGCCTTTACTTAAAACTTAAAATCATAATGGTCTGATTTTGAAATGACTCTGAAAAACTTTTTTTTTCTTTTTTTCTTTTAAAGATTCCAGTTCTTCAAACAAACAATGGTCCAACTCTTACAGGGCTGACTACGATAGCAGCTCATCTAGTCAAGCAAGCCAACAAAGACTATTTGCTTGGGAGCAATGCGGAAGAACAAGCAGTTGTTCAGCAGTGGTTAGAGTACAGGGTAACTCAAGTAGATGGACACTCCAGTAAAGACGACGTCCGCACTCTCCTGAAGGTACCGTGGCTTCTCTCTATGGGCTGAGATGTATAAACAGCTAATCAGGGTCCCCTCTCCTACTCTATGTCTTTGACTGGATAATCGCTGGATAAGCCTGAGTGCTAATAACCCAGGGTTCCATTTTTTGTCATAAAATCTATGAATCATATTCCCAAACATAGTTACTGTGTAGTAATTATGTGATTCAATTTTTTACATGCAATGTAAAGATCTAAATACAGTGATTTAATGAGTATAAGTACTTTGAAAAAGAGACAACTGTTGTTTTTTTTTTTCTTTCTTTCAGTTTAGCACCATCTTTTGTCAGTTGTTTCATCATCTGTTCAGAGCACACCTGTTGTTTTTCCAGGTGACTCCTGTTACAATGCTGTTCTCTGTTTCCTGGCTCATTGTTAGCAGTATAATGACTTCCATAGAGCAAGCAGCCTTTGAATCCAAGGTGCAGTCCCTGACATTGGTGTGGGAGCTGAGATTGTCTCCTAACTTTGTGTGTTTAGTATTTACATATGTGAATATATGTAATTGATGCTACAGTAAGACATTAAAGCAGTGCAGACTTTCAAGGATAAGGAATCATACTTCCCTTTTTAAATTAAAAAGTAAATAAATAAACGAATGATCTCATTCCTGAAATAAGCAGAGTTAACAGTTTAGAGCACATCCTTTCAAAATAGAGCCTTTTGTTTTCTTTCATTAAACTCTTTCTATGTGTGCATGTTGAATGTACTGACTAGGAATGGATTCTGGATCTAACTACCTGTATTTGAATCCCAGGCCCACTGCCTTACTAGCTGGTGACCTTGCGCATAAACCTCTCTGTGCCTCTCGTATTGTATGTGAAAATAAGGATTATAATATAACCTACTTCACAGATAGAATTCAATGTCATCAATGAATTGTTGTATAAAATACTTAAAATAATAAGTACATGTATGTGTTGGCCTGGCCACTGTTCCTGTTGTCACTGTGCTGTGTGTCTGCTTGGCATCTCACATTCTAACCTGTCAGCTAAAACAAAAGTGCCCTTGGTCAAATGTGAGATTTGATGAAATGATTAGGCCAAATAGCTGCCGCATACTTAAGGAAATCCTGGTGTGGTGCTGTGAGTTAATGCATCAGACTGCAAAGCCGTATGAAATGCAGGTTGGCGGATCAAGCTCACTAGCTGCTCCTCGGAAACCCTATACAGGGTCGTGACCTGACGGCATTTAACAACAACAACAACGTAAGATAAGCACTGGATTATTAGCCACAAGGTCAGCAGTTCAAAGTCACCAGCTGCTCCTTGGAAATCCTATAAAGAGAAACTGTGAGTTGGAACTGACTGTACTTAACCACCACAACAAAGCTTCTTAGGAACCCTGGTAGTGTAACCATGAGGAACTCAGCTTAAATACAAAGTCAGTGGTGGAGTCTCTGCAGGAGAAAGGCTTGGCAGTCTGCTCCTATAAAGAAAGACCACAGTCAAGGAGAACCCTTGGCCTCAATATGAGGTGAACATTGACTCACTTGCCCTCAACTACAGAAACTGAGTCATTGAGATTTTACAGAGAGAAGTGGCTTGGTAGTGACATTTTTTAAATGAGCAAAAGCCCCTCCTACATTGATAAACAAGAACGGTCTTACAATTCTATTTGTTCTATTTAATGGATCCCAACGTTTTATTTTCCTTAGAAAATAAAACGAGGGTGTTGTTAAATGCTGTCCAATTGGTTCCAAGTCTTAGCAACCCTGTACAGGGTTTCTGAGAGCTGCTGGTAGATTTGAAACCACTGGATCTTGTGGTTAGCAGTCCAGTGTTTTTACTATAGCGCCACACCAGGGCCAATTTCAATTGTGGTACTATATGATGGAATACTGAGAAACAAAAATAAACACAAACCAGCTGTAGCTACAACTCATGGTACCTCGTGTGCTGGCAGAGTAGAACTGCTACACAGAGCCTGCAAGGCTGTGACCGTTCAGAAGCGATGACCAGGCCTTTCTTGTCAGGTGTGTCCGGGTGAGTTCAAACCACCTTTAGGTTAATAGTTAAGTGCTTAACCATCTGCACTACCCAGGGACTCCTGGAATACTATCAGCTTACCCAAAATGATAGTGTAAGTGAATCCTTACTGATATGAAACGATGTTCACAGTACACTCTCACTGGAAAACAGTCCAACGACACGTTTGACTACTAGCTGAAAGGCTGCCAGTTTGAACTCATCCAGAGGTACCTTGGAAGATAGGCCTGGAGATGTGTTTCCCAGAGTTCACAGCCCGGAAAACCCTATGGAACAGACTGCACACATGGGGTGGCCATGAGCCAGAGTCGACTCGGTGGCACGTAACAGCAACAACAAATTTCTGTAACAACTGTTTTGCCTTTAACAAAACCAGAAACTACCTGATTCTCATCTGTGCTCACATGGCCCAACAGCATACCGTAAGTCTGTCTGTCTCCTGCACTGGTTCATGCTGTGTTGTAGGTAAAAGTGAGCAGATGGAGGCAGATGAAGAACAATGCTAATCACCCAGCCCCACATCACCTATATTTCAGATGGTTACAGCATCTCTACTCGTAGTCTCCTGATTCCAATTTTAGAGTAAATATTTGCACATCCCAGACAGATCTTACTTTTCAATCTATAAAACCCCATTTCAGCACTTTTAGTACTTCCTTCCTGTGTCTACCATTTCTATTTGCCCCTCTTTCCAATCTGCTCCTGCCTTCTGAGTTTTCTCCCTGGGCAGATGCTGTCCTCTGATCTCATATGGCTGGCTCTTCAAAGGAGTGCAGACTTCCCTGATGGTAGTGTGTTTGACTGAAAGCTGAGCCACAGCCTTAGCCTTCTCAACTCAGATATCCTTTTCTCAGAAACTCCCCTGCCAACCACCCTCCCAACCAGGTGAGACTCACTTCTACAGGCATCGCAGTGACCCAGACTTGTCCTTCATAGTATTCAAAAACCAAAACCACTGGTCGATTGTGACTCCTCGTGATCCCATGGGACAGGATAGACCTGCCCCATAGAGTTTCCAAACAGACTGCGACATCGTCCCAACTACACATCTTTCAATTAGCAGCTGAGTGCCTTACGACTGTGTTATCAGGCCTCTGTATACACTCAGAATCAGTGGTGATGGTTTAATGTGGTATAATATCTGACTCTCCCACTAGGCAGCCCTGTTGCCTTAAGTGATACGGTGCTTTCTCATAGGCAAAGGGAGTCGTACTCTTTGGGGGGGGGCGGGGGTCATCATTGTAAAAAAAAATGCAAATGTGAAGGAAACTTTTAATTTTATGGCATGAATCGCCTGGTCAATTTATTTCTTACCATTATATTTGTTGTTAACAGTGTAAATTGTGTAAGAAAATCTTACAGCATTGAGAACTTTGCATTTATCACGCTGGGAATTGGTTGACGCTGCGTTTTTGATAGATGTCATGAAGAGAACTCTGGTGAGAAACAGGTGTGAGCCATGTTCCTTCATAACTCTGCCATGGCCAACTCTGTGCTCTTAATAGCCAAATGCCCCGCACCCAGGGATCCTTCCTTGTGCCCCACTGTGCATTCTGAAGGGAGGGAGGCAGGCATTTCTATCCTTCAAGTGAACATCAGATTTTAGGCAAATACATAGTAAATCTAACTATAGATTTCCACAGGGAGGTAACTAATATGACAGACCAGGATAGAGTTTGGCAGTGAATCCACAGGACTGATGGACCGTGTAAAGGCTGGCCTTCATTGAGCCTGAGACCAGAAGAACTGAGGAGTCCTGGTGTAGTACTAAGTGTAAGCACTGGACTGATAACTGCAAGGACAGATTCCATTGACCACATTCCCCATCTGTTTCCTGAAGCTAAATTCCTATCAGAGTAACTGCTGGCCTTCAGCTATTACTCATTTGTCCTATAACAACAACAACGTTGTTAGCAACAGTATTTGGGAGCGACCTTTCCCATAAAACTCTTGCCAACATGGATGTTACCCTTTTCTTCCTTTATCTCTCCGATTTTATTACTAAATCTGAACCAAAAGAGATTTCCTTGTTATTTTGTGTTTTTTACTAAGATTATTAGTGGTGGGGCATGTTTTTCATAATGCTTACTAGCCATTTTGATTAATTTTTTTTAAAAAAAACTTGTTTTGCTATCAAGATAATTGTAAAAAGGTCATTTAATCCTTACTGAACTTCCATTTCAGTATTAAAACCATTTTAAGTTTATTCTAAGTGCTTCTTAATTAATATCATGTAATTTTTAAAAGCAGATAATGTAAAACACTAACATTTGTTGAATCAAGATGAAGGTTAGATAGTTGTTTATTGTACTATTTTTTTTCAACTTATCTGTGTCCTGGTGCTGTGAGCTAATGTGTCAGACTGCAAAGTCTTTGGAACTTCAGGATTGCTAGTTCAAGCTCACCAGCTGCTCCTTGAAAACCCTATGTTGTTGTTGTTAAGTGCTGTCGAGTCGGTTCCAACCCATAGCAACCCAGTTTCTGAGGAGCAGCTGGTAAGCTTGAACCACTGACCTTGCAGTTCAAACGGCTTTGCAGTCTGGCACATTAACCCACAGCACCACACTAAGACTCCTATGGTGGTGGTGTGCTGTGGAGTCAGTTCCAACTCATAGTGACCCTGTACAGGGTTTCCGAGGCTGTAAATCTTTACGGGAGCAGAAAGCCTCATCTTTCTCCCGCGGAACAGCTGGTAGTTTGGAACTGCTGACCCTGAGGTTAGCAGCCTGATTGGTAACCACTACACTTCCGAGCTCAGAGGGTAACAGTGGGTAGGAATCAACTTGACGGCACTTAACAACAGTAACATGCTATTAGGAAACTTCATAAGTCATTGTCATTAAGTGCCATGTTGAGTCCGTTCTGACTCAGAGCGACCTACAAAGAGTTTCCAAGGAGTGGCTGGTGGGTTTGAACCACTGACCTTTTGGTTAGCAGGACAATGCTGATCCTACAGCACCATACCAGGAAAAGGAGGAAAATATTTTAAATG